TTAAAAACCCAGTCCAAATGTTTTGTTGCAACATGTTTCGGTGCAAGAAAATAAATGTTCTTTGAAGTTCTACCTTTTTCCACGTATTGTAATCGTTCAAGTATATAAAGTTTTTTAGCTTGTTGTTGTTGCTGTACTGTCGGTGATAGAGTAGTTTCACGTGAAGATGAAGAGGAGGATGTCGATGATTGATTGGTTGTGGTAGAAAACGGTTGTTGTGTTTCGGATAAATGAGCATTAGGAGATTGATGAAATTGTTGCGGTGACATGGTACCACCACTCTCTATGGGATCGTGAGTCGATGGTTGCCATGGAAAAGGTTTTGGGCCTAAAGAAAATACAGCGTTAAACACAATTTTCTCTAGATGGGAATGATGATACTTACTAAGTGGTTCTGTGGCGCCAGTGTCAATGGCAGCAATATCTGTTGATTGCAATAATAGAGCATGTTGACTAGGATCATTCACTGTTGTCAGTGACGAAGATGGTTGAGAAGCAAAATGGAGTAAACTATTTTCATGGATTAATTCGTTAACAGCTGCTGTCATATTTGGTGATGTAGTTAACTTTTTAACAATTTCAGCCATTCCGTCTGTTGTCGTTCCTGATAATGAATCAACATCAACTGTACGTAATACATCTAGAATATTTCTTGGTACAATATGCTCTAAACGTTCAAGAAGATTAAATGTTGAATTAGAAGCAATTGTTGAAGTGGATGATGCTGGACTAAGCGTGCCACCACCTCCAGCTGATTGTCGTAATTTATCGACCGTTTGTAAACAATCTCTTTTCGAATCTAAAAAATATAAAACATTAAAATTAAAAATTGAAAGAAAAGAGAAAAATTTACCATGTGGATGTTGGAAAGAATTAGGAGAGTAAAGTTGGGAAACGAATGGCACTGTTGCTTGAGTCGGACATTGTTGTTGTTCTTCATTGAGTAAAAACGAGACAGGAAGTGACATTGAATCATTTGTCTCGTTGGGTAACGGTGGTACACGTGGTGGTTCAATTAAGTGATTAACTGATTGGGAATTATTTTCAATTTGACATTGTTGTTGAGAACGATTGTCAGTCACTGTTGAAGAGGAAGAAGATGAGGAGGAAGAACATGCTGGATTTAGAGCAACACCAGCGGATGATGGCAATGGTCTTTGAAGAACACTTTTAGGATATTCAAGTAATAACTGAACAATAGATGTATGGCCGCCTTTAGCTGCTTCGATCAAACAATTAGAACGATCCTGCAAAAAGAAAAGAAAATACAAATAGTTTACCCAGAATATACTACAATAGTTCAGTTTCGAACCTTTAACAAATGATTCGGATCTGCCCCATGTTTCAACAGTAAGGATGTTATTTCAATGTTTCCTCCAGCACATGCCAGTGACAAAACAGTTTGATCATTATTAACTGTAGAATGATTTACATCAGCACCTTTAACAGAAATGCAATGTTCAATACATCAAACTCAAAAAATACTCTTACCTTTTAATATTAAATATCGAACAGTACACGTGTGTCCAGCTCTTGCGGCTTTCATTAATGGTGTCATGTTTTTTTCATTCTCCGGTTGTTCAATATTTGCACCAGCATGCAACAATAACTCAGCTACTTCGGTATGACCTGATTCACAGGCATAATGAAGACTTGAATCCCCAGCAACCGTTGTTTGATTTACATCAGCACCTAAAAAGCATTTCACGTCTCAGAGTAGTTAAAGTCGGAAATATTAACTCACCATTTTGTATTAAAAATTGAACAAGTTCAGTGTGTCCTTCTTGGGAAGCTAAACAAAAACAACTTGCTGACGAACTGCTTGTTTTTTGTCCAGAAGTACGAGATTAAAGTACCTTCCATAAGTGGTGAAGACTGTCCAATATTTACGTTTGCACCCTTTGAAATTAAGATTTTCGCTACATCAAGAAAACCACCAGCACATGCCAGAGTCAATGCTGTTTCTTGTGTTTCTTCTGTTATTGTGTTTACATTTGCTCCTTAAAAAAAAACCAGCCTGTAAATCATCGCCAGTTGTTCTCTTTTTTACTAGATTCAGACTTTAACCTGAATAAGACCAAAAAATATAGTTGAGATTCATTAATTTTTTAAAGTAAGCACTACAGATAACACATGCATTTCAATATGAACTCAAAAGTGTTTTGTTTCTCAAAAAACCTAGCACATACATACCTTGTGATACAAGTAAAGTCACTAAATCATCATGTCCCTCTCTACTTGCTAAAAAAGAATAACAATAACAATAACAATAACAATACATTATATTTTATCATATGAAAAAAAGAATATTGCTTCGTATTCATACCTTCCATCAATGGTGTGTAACCTTCATCATTGACTTCTTCTAAATTTGCACCACGTTCAATAAGTAACGAAGCTAGTTCGATGTGACCGCCGCAGGCAGCCAATGTTAATGGTGATTCATAGCTATCGGGAGGCATGTTAACATCAGCGCCATGATCAAGCAATAATTTAGCTACTTGTACATGGCCATCCATACAAGCTTCCATTAGCGCTATAAAATAGAAAAAGACAATTGTCTCTTTCTTCAAAAAGACGTTCATGAATTACCTGTATGCATTTCATCTGTTTTGTGTTGTTTATCAGCTCCATGTTCTAATAAAAACTGTACCATATCTAAGTGACCTTTATAACAAGAAAGTGTGAGTGCACTTTCTTTAAATTCATTTGAATGGGTGTTGACACCAGCTCCATGAGCTAATAATACGCGTGCTACATCCACATGACCACTACTTGCTGCTTCCATCAATGCTAAGAGAGAAACAATACTAAGCGTTCAGTAAGAAGAACAGAGCAGTTATCTTTTTCTAAATGATTACCTGTATGCCCATTTTCATTAGTTTCTTCAACTTTGGCGTTATTATCTAATAATAATTGAACAATATCGGCATAGCCCTTAAAGAAACAATCTTCAATTATAAAATACTATATATAAAACAAAAGAAAACATACGGCTGATGCTGCATAATGTAACGCTGAATTTCCCGATGTTGATTGAATATTTACATTTGCAGTATGTTGAAGTAATAATTCAACAATATCATAATGACCAGCATTACATGCTTCAATAAATAAACATATTAATATAACGTTAAAGAACGTTATCTGATTAACTGTATGTACCTTCCATTAGTGGTGTACAGTCTCCTTTTGTACCCTTGTCATCAATATCAATTTTAGTGCCTAACAATAATTTAACTAGTTCCATATAGCCACTACTGCATGCTAATGCTAATACACTGTCACCATCTTCATTGACATCATTCAAATGATCTTTACCATTTGTTGTTTGTAACATTTTTTCTACTGTGCGTAAATCATTATCCACACATGCACGTACAAATGCACCCGGACTGAAAAATAAACAAATTAAAGTTAAATAACGCACAACTTTTTTTTTAAGAATATGAAACGCCTAAAAATAAAATCATATTTAGAACTATTTAGAGTTAAGCCAGAAACATACAATGCCTATGAGCGAACAAAAACTAAATAAAAAAAGCTAAGTTTGTTTCTCTCAGACTTAAATTTTGAAATATCCCAGTAATCTATAAATGTTTACTCAACACAGTAGATGTACTCAGGAAAAACGATTTAGGAAAAAATACTGTCTTTATTGTAGAATAAATTACCACTATCTAAACAAATGCTTCTCAAACTTTGTACTTATATTTGTTTACAACTTGAATAAGGCAAAAGAACAGATAAAAAAGTATCGAAAATACCTCATACATTTTTTCAGAAATATTGCGACGCGCTACGGTGCGCGAAACAAGAAAAATCTCCTTGCGAATAATTCAGAATACGGATGAAGAAGATAAAATCTCACGTGCAGTTATCAATGGTACGTGACTAAGTTTCAGTTCGTCCAACATGTTAATGTAAACTATGAGCATAAACGCATTTATCGAACAAAATGAAAACAATATTTCGTTGTAAACGAGTAAACGGAGTTTATGTTTAGTATCTTCCTTTAAAAGAGATACGAAAAATTAATTGTCAAATAGATTTTTTCAGCAGAGATGGAACTTTTTGACGGAGGTTTTTGACATGAGTCATATGAAGGCATTCGTTCTCATGACTTCAAATTACATTTATAGCGAAATGACTACCATTGATCTTCAAATGTATGAAGAACTTTATAAGAGGTGGTTCTTGGAACTAAAATAAACAGGACCATGATTTAACTGCAATGCTGAGTAAAATGAGTACACTTCGCAGAGAGAATAGTAACATAAATTGCATGAATTTTAGCGAAACACAGTAGTACGAAGAATAATGGAACAAAAGACGAGAAAAATGAAATTGACAAAACATACATTACCTCTCTTTACTAGTTGTTGATCGATTTGATTTTTTTTCATTTCCTGCTGGCGTCGTTGTACCGGTCGACAGTATTCCACTTGTCGTCGAAACAAGATCCGTTCCAATCTCATTTAATCCATTTAAATTATTTGTTACACTACTTGTCAGTAAGCGTACAACTTGTTGATCCCGCCAAAAATCTTCGGGAATGGGAGCATTTGTGATTCCTAAAATTAGAAATAAATAAATAAGATTTATTGTTTGCCAATAAAAACAAACCTGTTGCTTCAAGAATCGCTGCTAGCTTTGCTTGTGTATCAGGATCAATATGGCCAATATCAATGTCATCATTTAAACGTCGTTGCTGTAATGTTGTGAAATGTACATTTTCATTGTCTTCATCCTCATCTTCATTATCACTGTTATCAGTATTCTGAAGAAAAGAGCATATTTCTCTTAAATTTCAATATAAATGTGATTTGACCGTAGCGACTTACTACTTCAATGTCTTCGTCATCGTCAGTCAACATGTTATCATGAAAACGTGAAACACCAACAGATATTATAGAAACATCAGTTAAATCTAGAGATGTATCTTCGTCACTGGCAATACCTGTTATCGGTCTCAGTGCTTTTTCTACAGTACTACGGTTGATTGTTGTATTACTATTTAATATGTTGTGTGGTTGTGAATTAGACGCAGAATTAGTGTTGCCTGAAACGGATGTTGATGATGTTTTTTTTGTTCGGCTGTCTTGAGTTGTGTCGCTTTTCATAGCATCATTCATAATGTGCGTAAAGCTATCTAAATACATCAATATTTATAGTGCGTTTTCTCAGACTGCTAATATTGCCGTTACAACAAGGCTTACAGTCCATGATCTCAGAGTACTGCGAATTCATTTCTCACCAATATGCACATCTCATATCGTTGAATTCGCACTAGAGCTGACAGATCTGAGATTTTTTAGACGTTAGAACAGAATTTTGACCCAGTAATCTGTAAAGCGCATACTTTTTCATTAAAAAATGCATGCAGTCTCTCCGGTATAATCTTGTTGGATATTTTTGAAAGGAGCAATAAATGAACTTGATATCACAAGTACAAAATTGTCATAGTGAATCTTGCAAGTGGGCTAAATGGCAAAATGTATGCGGAAAAATATGAGGCAGCCATTCGCATCAGTCATTTCTCATTAAAATATTTTTCTGCATTACGGATGCTTATCTTTTTTTAGAAGGATTGTCGACAGAAAAATAATAAATCTAAATGTAAAAGCTCTATTTGAATTTATCTTTTTCCTACATTATTTAACGAACAGTGCTACGTGGCGTTAAGATGTCGCTCTCGAAGTATACTAGATGAGCCACTGGCTATATCTTCATTACCTTCATTGGAGCTAATTTCACGAACTTGGGATCGTCTCAATACTGATTTTAGAGAAATCCCAAGTATTCTCGGAATAACCTATAGCCAGTCAATTAATCAATTGGCAAAGTGGAAATCAGCTCGGTGGTAAACTGGGAAATCATTTTCAAAATTTTGGGAGAAAAAAATCCACAAGAGAAAGAAAAAGAGAAATAACTATTAAAGTACTTTACTTATTTCTTAAAGTATTTCACTGTTTTGGTCAAACTTTTACTTTTCAGCTTGTAGTCATATCTCTGCAAGGCATCGAAGTCATCTCTGCATTGTAATACTGCAGCATTCTGAAACAAAAACTCATATCACTCAGTGGCGGCGTGCAGAGGTTGGGAGCTTGGGGGGTCGGGGGCGGTAAATCCAAAAATGGGAGTAAAGTCTCCAAAAATAAGCCCCTGACTCTCCAAGCTCATGGTGAGGTATAAATAATTGATGAGCATCACTATTAAGTTTGCCTAAACGTTACATTCACTGTAATTTTCTCAGACGTAGGCGGAAAAAATAGAAATAAGTCATCTAAGTCGATTAAGAAAGCTTCTTCAAAGAACACATTTAATATCGGTTTTCGGAGAAAGCAGCACTTTAGTATTCGAAAAAACCAAAATCGAAGTAAATCATCCCTCAGGTTTCTCCGAAATTCGGAGTAAATCGTTCTTATCTTTTCTCAAATTACGAGTAAACCGTTCTTGATTTTGTTCAAAATCGGAGTAAATCCCTCTCCGAGTTTCTCCAAAACTGGGAGTAAAGGGCCCATGACTTCCTCCAAAACGGGTGTAAATCGGTCTTGATTTTGTTCAAAATCGGAGTAAATCACTCTCCAAGTTTCTCCGAAATGAGAGTAAATCGTTCTTATCTTTTCCCAAATTTGGGAGTAAATCGTTCATATATTTTTCACAAATTGGGAGTAAATTTGACCAAATTTTTTAAAAAAGTATGGGGGGGATCAAAAAAATTTCCATGGGAAAATAATATTAGTTTGAAAATTTTTCCTAAACTTTCGAAAGCACCTCGGATCAAAAATAGAAAATCTTCTGGGTTATCGAGCGTACTAAATACGAAAAACCACTTTTTAGCAACTCAAAACCAACTTTATTTTTTTCCCGGTGATATGTTTATGTTTCAAGCGTTGTTGATTAAAAAAAAGCATAAATGCGAAGACAAAAGACGGATAAATTAGCACTCTCCATGAAAGATTATTTAGTTAGGTAGTTGAAGAAGGTGAATATTGTTAGGACGGGCCTTTTCATAACTTGTGTCCTTTGCTCTTCTTTCTTCCTTTTACGTTTTTTGAAAGTCATTATGATTTATTTATTCGGTGGAAGAAGCAGGATGGGTAAAATCAATTCTCACTCGATAAACATTTTAAATTCATGTCATTCTCCATCGCTCTCCAGTCGTTCTGCAGCAAAAAAAATTTAATTTATTTTGTACTTCGTAACTTCGCTTCTTTTGTTCGTATATGAATATGTAGATATCTATCGATATTCTTTTACAAGAAGAAGAATGAATTTTTTTTCGAAAATCGCTCCATTTCAATATTTTGTGGAGCAGAATGTTGAGTAAACCGGTGGACAATTGCTTCTATGAATCGATTAAAGTAATAATGAAACGTCATATCAAAATCTGCTGTTTTTCTTCTTCTAGAGGAGCAAATCTTTCAGATAATTTTACCATCCGAACGATAGTTCCAGTGCGTTCGAAAGGAATTTATAAAATAACGAGTTCTAATGGGATGAAAACAGATTTGATACTCGTTATTAGACATACGAGCTGGAATGTGATTTTCTGCGACTTATTCACCAGATATAAAGTTAACACATTAAAGGACGTTAGATTTCATATCTTCATGCGATTCCTAACATATATGAAAGACATGATCTTTTCTTACAGACGCTTAAACTTATTCTCAAAAAGTTCTATTTATGTACAACACTTCGAGAACATGTTTATTCTTGACAATACAGTTCTAAATTCGACTCGAGCTCAACCAGTCGACTATCTACGATGTGTGGAAGATTCGACTCGGATCGAATCAGGTTCAGATCATTTGGTTAAAGATCGACAGTGAGCTTGTTTTAAATCTGAATAGTGCTTCGAAAAGATCGAAGAATGCTCTACACTGTAATTTGGAATTATTTTCTACTTTATAGAAAATCGATCTGGAAAATCGCCAAGGATTTTCCAACTTTTATAAAATCCTCAGCGATTTTCTGACTGTTTAGAAAATGTTGATTTTCTGCT